CTCAAAGACCACCATCAGCTTCCTTAAGTCAAAGAAGGCATCCAAGTGGGGTCCCACAGGAGACAAGCATGAATGGGGCAGAAGGATCAAAACGAGTCATTCTCATTTGAAAACCCCAAAATCTAACTTATTCAACAAATATAAAGTTTCGACTATGTGCTAGGCCCCTGAATTAACTTGTCTTTGTATCTCTACCATCTAGTTATTGCGTAAAGCAGAGTTACAATAATTTTTTTCAATACTGAATGAACATACTAATTAAACTATATAAAATACTGTGGTTTTTTTTAAATACAGACATCGAAGATCATTCTGCTCAAGTGTCATCTAAATAAAGCATAGAAGGTTTCATAGCTGTTGATGTCACCTGGAATCTACTGATTTTATTTATTTAAATGACTATTATGACCAGGAGGTGTATTTACAAAGAATCTTACCATTACATCAGTTCACGTGAGGATTAGAATTGTTAACTTATTTTAAGAGGAAAGAGAAAATCAAACAGTTCCTTAAGAAAGGCATTTTCTTGCCAATTACATACATCAGCTGGCCATATGAATTTGACACACTAAAGTACCAATTATTCTGTCTAATTCCAAGGGCTCTATATATAGCTTTATAAATTCTACTGATCACAATTCTGCTCTGTTTTTAAGCTTCTGCTTTCATTTTGCCACCAGCTACGCCGTGATGGCACTTTTGTTCCACGCATATGGTGTCACTTGTTGGTAGGGGACTCTGGAAGAACATTTTATGTTTAATGCCCTGAGCCATCTGCCACAGAAGATCACAGATTACGCTGGGATGCCCCTACCGGCAGCTTCGACACTGAAAGGCTCTGAGGACTTGGGGCTGCTGTAGCAGACCAGGAACCGTGCGCCCCCCAACAAGAACGGGGGCGTGAGGGACTCAGTCAGTGCAGTCCTGGGATTCCACCCACGCCTCCTGAGCACTGGGACATTCTGGAAGTGACTGATACACACATTAAATTCCTGAAGCCAAGCTAGCAAAGGCGAACGCTTTCCTCTTAAGTGTTCAGACGGATGGACTGCAAGTGGCTTCGTGGGTAACTGACTCTGGTCTAGGTAAAAGTAACGAGGAACTGCACGAGGGGAACAGAAGTGTAAGTGTACAGGAGAGAGATTATAGCAGGACAATCAAGGGGACTGGGATGAGGTTTTGATTTGATTAAAAAAAAACACCTTGGAGAGGCAAATGCAGTGAATATCATCGTTTGTCAGAGCGGACCTATTTTCTATGCCTTTCCACCAAGCTCTCTGCACCGGGAGGCTGACCTGCGGGTCTACAGTGAGCTCCCTGGCTCTCTGGATTCCAGCTGGGTTTAGTCCATGGCAGCCTGGGCAGGCCATCAGAGGGAAGAGCGATCTGAGTATTGATTCCCTTAGCTGTATCCCAGTGAGGCGGCCTCGCGCTGGCTAAATCTCTCTGCCTAAGGTCACAGTGCCTCTAAGACAGCCCTCTACCCTTCTCTCTCCTTCCAGGTTCCAGCAGCCACTCCCCTCCCACATACCTTTGGGCCAGGGACAGTAACAACCCCGCTGCTACTAGCACTGGACACTACACTCTCCCTGTGGTTTCCCTAAGCCTAACCTCACCTTTGTGAATAATGCTTTTATTAAACCTCTCTAATGATCGTAATTTGAATGTATCATTTACTTCCTGCTGGGACTCTGACTGATATAACATATATGATTTTAAGATTTTGATCTTGGTGGCTGTGAGGGGAGGTGATATCATTAGCTGAGATAAGGAATACAGGAAGGTGAGCACATCCAATGTGGGAAGAAAAACCACATGTTGACTTTGCGACATGACACTGTGGACCATCCACAGAGAGGCTGGTAGCAGCTACAAAAGTGAACCTGGCATAAAGATGTAGATAATTAATTTTTGGAAATGTGTGAGTCCTGATCATTACTATAAAAACTGGTTTAATACAGAGAATTTATTTCATTTAGGAGATGGAGGCATCAGAAAACTCTCTTAAAAATTATGGATTACTCTAGGTTTAAAGGATCTTAACTGCCATCTAGCTACGCTCTCCCTTAATAGGTGTGGTAACTAATGTCCACAGGTACCTCTGAAAGGGTCCATGTTAGTCAGTGGCACTAGAATCTACAGCTTCTGGATGCCTACATCTGTGCTCTTTTCATAAAGTGCAGCATTTATCTCTACTTGACTGGTTTCCATGAGCCAACAAGTACTGAGTACCTAGTCTGCATCCAACCTTTTGCTAATTGATATGTGAAGAATAAACAGGAGTATAACTGACTAACAGCTCATACCAACGTTGTTTTTTATTGGATTTTTTTTTTAAATCCTCACCCGCGGATATTTTTTCCATTGGTTTTCAGAGAGAGTGGAAGTGGGGGGGCATATATGTGAGAGAGACACATCGATTGGTTGCCTCCCGCACGTGCCCTGACTGGGGCCGGGGATCAAGCCTGCAACTGAGGTGCATGCCCTTGGCCAGAATCAAACCCCAGACCCTTCAGTCCACGGGCTGATGCTCCAACCACTGAGCAACACTGGCCAGGGGTTAAGCAGTTAGTTTCGATTGTAGAATATAATATGTAAGAATCTATAAACCTATCTGCTCCTACCTATAGAGACCATCCTTCTAAATGACAGCTCCAATAACTGCTGGCAAATGAGCAATTCTTATTATTCATGCATGTGTGTGTGAACTTATGTACATATTGTTACTATTTAGCTGCACATGTGCAGTAGTAAGGGAGAGGAGAGCATGGAAGCCCACACACTTGAACACTGCTCCTTGGAAATCGCATATGCTTTCTCCTCCATGTATTGTGTGATTTGGTATATACAGTTCTCAACTATGCTGAGAACCTTCTTAACAGGAATTGTAACTACAATCTATCATTCTGTTTTCACACACTCATGACTTTCCCAAGAGCATTTATCAATGGTTGAGAAACTACCTGCTTGGACGCTCATAAGGGCAAAATTTCTTTAAGTCTGAAGAGCTATTTTCAATTTGGAAATTATTGCTGGAAGAAAAAAGTGATGTCTCCATAGTTAAAATGATCTCTATTCATCTTAAGGTTGAAATTCGTTTATTTTGCTAATTACAACTTTCAAGCACTTCACAGATCTTTCATTTTTCTACTTGCTATGCCTGAATAGTATCAGACTTCGGAGAGTGGGTGATGATTCCCAAGATGTCCATGAATTAATAACTAAGAAAACCTCAATAGAGGAGAAGTCATCCTAAATGACCTTTCCTCGGGAATCTGTTCTACAGGAAACTTACACCCCTGAAGAGGTGGGTGCAGTAAGCATATTTCCCAGTGTGTGAATGTGTTACAAGCTCAACTGTCTTTAGGGACAGGCATCAATCTGAATGTGTGAAGTAGCCAAGTCCCAGACAATACAGAGTTGTGAGGACAATAACTGCCTGCGAAGTCCAGATTCCCTAAGGCCTCAAGTGTGAGTGTGTGTGTGTGTGTGTGTGTGTGTGTGTGTGTACAAACGAAGAATGGCTGGGGGCTGAATGCTGCCATCAACCACCAGTTTGTGATGTTAATTTTAGGCAGACTACGTGGAACACTTCTTTCTACTTCGTAGAAAGTTTTCATTCCTTGAGCCAGCTAGCTTGAAATATTTCATTATTACTGTAGTCTGAATGTGTGTCCCCCTCAAATCCATATGTTGAAATTCTAACCCCCCAAAAAGATGGTATTAGGAGGTGGAGCCTTAAAAGGGTGCTCAGGTCATAAGGGTGAAGCTTTTATAAAGCGATTAGTGTTTTTACAAAAGAGACTCCCAAAGAGATTGCTAGCCCCTCTACCATGAGAGGACACAGCAAAAAGGTGACAGCTATGAACCAGGAAGAGGGCCCTCACCCAACGGTGCCTGATCTTGGATTTCCCAGCCTCCAGAACTGTGAGCAATAAATTTCTGTTGTTTATAAGCCCCCAGTTTATAGCAATCTGTTATAGTAGCTCGAGAGACTAAGACAATGACCAACCCTTCCCTTTATTTTATCAGAAGAATCAGAGTAAAAAAATTTCCTAGGTGAGAGTAAAATATTAATTTTAAGTTCCATTTCCTAAGTATTGAAAAAAGGAACTTCATCAACTGCATCTCATGCCTTTAAAAGTTCTTCCACTCCTTGTACACAAAACACAAGAGGAAAGACTTCATGAAATTCCAGTACAGAGCAGTTCACTGATAAAAATCAGGTATAATCAAGATTACCTAAGAATTACTGACATCCTAAACACTGGGAATTGAACTGTGAAACAAAGGATTATCTTAGTTTTATTCTTCAGGTTAAAACACACACACACACACCAAAATGCCATTAACTAAATGTTGATCTTATCTTGTACTGTCTCAAAGAATCACAGTTGTGACTTTACCTTCACCCAAGCATATTAATGAGAGACAGGATGTCTGCACAACTCAGCCCAATTATCTGTTTTTCCGTACTAGGACATTCATCACTATGGGATGGAAGGTTTGGCTAAGATAACACTCATACCTTAGACCAATACTTGTGTAACAACGCGGTTTTTTCTCCCAGGGCCCATAATTTAACTACTAAATTACTCACATAGACAGCTGATGAGCTAGAAGCTCTGTCAAAATTCCTGATTACTATGAAACGAGTTTTTGCTTACGTGCTCACACACTATGGGTTCAAAAGGTATTTTCTTAACTTGGGAATTTTTACACAGAATATGTCCGCCATCTTCATTATAGTACAGTCAGAATTATTGCAGTCAGAAATTATGACAGAATTCTGTGAGCAAAATCCTTGGAAGGTTTTTCAAAGCTGAACTATAATTATTTCAAAAAGATGCCTGCGTGTGGACCGAGGCTGGGAAGCAATGTTTTAAATGTGCAGGATTCTGCTGGAGAGGTTCAATTATAGGCGCCCTTTTCCTGACATAAAATTGTGCTCTTGCTGAGACAGTGAATTCCAGGAAAATGACTTAGAGCCCGGTACTCACCATGGTTGGAAAATAGCGACTGGTCTTGAATTTCTTGAGAGCCATGGAGGTGGTGTAGGTGCCCAAGAAGAGAATGAACGACATGAGCGTGATGTCAGGGACGGCCTCGCAGTTGTTTCCCACCAGGCTTCCTCCGTATTTCAGACACTCCTTCTTCGACAGGGCCGCCCAGTCCAAGGTGGCGTTGTGGTCCTGGGTGAAGAAAACGTTAGTGGCTTTCGGGGGACACTGACGCCTCCAAAGCAGCGCCCACGCTTGCCGGGCTGCACAGCGATTGCGCTAAAAGTTCCTGCCCAGCAGGCAGGAGGTCACCATCGCGGGGACAGACTGCAGATGTTAATGGGGTGACAGGCCAGCGGGCCCAGGAGGCCACAGTTATTGAAAAGGCAATGACAATGACGCAGTCCGTTACCCAGTTTGACCTACAGCCTGACAATCACCCATCTGCGTTCAACAGAAACAAACCAAGTCCTTCTTTCCTGTCAACCTTCCTGAGAGTAAACTGACACACAATAATATCCTAAGTCTCAAGACGTGAGACTCTCTGAAACACGTCTGTTGTTCAAAAGTACTTACTTTTGTAGTGAGCAGCTCCTTACGCTTCAAGCTGATGACCCATGGTTAACACTCTAAAAGTTTTATTAGGTTAACTACTCATTTACCCAGCATTTTCACAGATGAGCTATTTCTTTTCTAAATAACTAGAGTTGATAATTTAAGGAATCAAACCATACAATCTTGATGAACGCTGCTTTTTCAACTGCACATCCTAATAAAATACAGCTCTTTTCTTGTTGACTCCAGGCCTGCCCCGTGAGCGTCCGTGGCTGGAATGTGCCGTGACTGGCTGCGGAGCTGTGTATGGGGTATCTATCCATCCACCTATCCCTAGGCTATATGGCCTCAAGTTCAAAGGTCAATCTTCAAAATTTCTTCTATCTTATGAATTGCTGTCATGCTGTCAGTGTTGCACTTCTCAAGAGCAGCTCACTCCTGTTCCCATTTTCCATTTCTACCTTTGCTCACGGCGAAAAAAGCCAGGGCACCCATCCCCCAGTAGCTCGGAGTTTTAGCCGTCATCGGCTCACAGCCGCCTCCTTCTCTAGATAACTGCCTTCAGCCTCGTAAGACCTACCTCACCTGGAATGTTACACCCTCCTGCAGCCAAGTACTGACGGCACTAATGGGGTGCTACTGACTGAATATTTGGGCTCCCCTAAAACTCGGGTTGAAACCTAATTCCCTATGTGGAACCTTTGGGAGATGATTAGATCACGAAGGTGGAGTCTTCATAAATGGGGTTAGTGTTCTTACAAAGGGGACCCCGGAGAGCTCCCTTGCCCCTTCCATCATGTGAGGACACAGTGAGAAGAGGGCGGTCTATGAACTCAGAAGCAGCCCCTCACCAGATACTGAACCTGCTGATGCCACGGTATTGGACTTCCTCTTGGGACCAGGACTAACAGAAGAGCTATTTGAGAACACCTTGCAAATAAGTGTGGAATGGTAAATTTCTCCTGTCCTTTGGGAGCAAGAGCTCTACCTCAAACCAAATGCATCCTCAAGACCCTTTACTATTCAGTGCATTCTCTTGATATGTTGATACAAGTAATATAGTCATAAAAGATCATATATATAAAAGAAGACTTTCTGGCCAGGAAGAGGCCTATATTTTTACAGAGCTCAACATGTAAAATGCTTATACTTTTTTTTAACAACAACAAAAATAAACTCTAAATCATTCCCTGAAATATTTTTTTTCTATATTAGCTTCAACTTGTGAACATCTGAATTGCATAATTACTTTTTTATCAAACTCTGCTTTTGAGGTGATTAATCATATCTCACTTTGTTTTTCAAATTTCTGCATATGGATGTTTTCAGCAGAATACATCTAAAGTTTAGACGTCATAATAGGTAACAGATTTCTTTGTTTTAAAATCAGCAAAAATGTACCATAATTTCAGCGCAGCTCTGTGATATCAGCAGAATGTTTGTTTTTTTTAATTGTCACTTGAGGATATGTTTTTATTGATTTTGGTTTTAGAGACACAGGAAGGGAAAGAGACAAAGAGAAAACAAACAAACATTGATGTGAGAGAAACATCCATTGGTTGCCTCCTGTACATGCTCCAACCTGGGACTAACCTGCAACCTAGATATGTGCCCAGGACCTTTGGGTGTATGGGACAACACTCCAACCAAGCAAGCCACCCAGCCAGGGCCAGAGTGCTTTTTTATAACTAGAGTTCCCAAAGAAGTAAGCTGCATTAAAACAATCCCCACAGGAAGTTTTACTGACGTTCTTACAGAGATTCGGGTTGAAGTGAAAACTATACACATGTACGTGAAATGATAGAGATGTTTTCTTGCTTACAGACAGTGCTTCATTCCCTTATCCAATACGCCCTTTATTCAAAACTTACTGAGTGCTCACCATGTGGAGGAACTGACAGTGAGGGGACCAGGTGGGCCAAAGCACATTGTCCGTGTAAATGGGTAACGAAAAAAACCATGTAAAGGAAATGGGACCAAGTTCCTGGGGGTCTTAATTGAGGTCAATCTCATGGAAAAAGATTTTAATCTATTTTTCTGGATCTCATTTTCTAGAGACCCTGTTTACAATGAGTGGGTTTGTTTCTAACTTTTCTTTTTTTAAAAAAAATATATCTTCACTGATTTCAGAGAGAGGAAGGGAGAAGAGGAGAGAGAAATAGAAACATCCATGATGAGAGAGTCATTGATCGGCTGCCTCCTGCACGCCCCTGACTGGGGATGGAGCCCACAACCCAGGCATGTGCCCCGAATGGGGATTGAACCACGATCCCCTGGATCCTAGGTCGATGCTCAACCACTGAGGCACACCTGGCTAGGCTGTTTCTAGCTCTTAAAAGTAGAATGCATACTAAAAGATTAATTTCAAAATTTAAAATACTATAGCATCCTCTCCAAACACAAACGTGGGGGATATATGAGAGAGCATGGGCAAAACGCTGACAGTCTCTGAAGCTAGGTGACATGTATGTGGGTTCACTGTACTATTCTCTCTACTTTAGTGCATGTTTTACATTTTCCATAAGGTTTTAAATAGTAGGAGCATGTAATCTTCAAGGCTGTTTGAGGACAGAATGGTTTTTACGCTTGACTTTCTCAATGAGAGAAAACCATAAGGATGTTGCTATGCACAAGATCAATATGCCATTCCATTTCCTATTGAAATGAATGCTCCCTCCTAGAACTGCCCTGAGGAATATCAAATCAAAGCACTTTTGCTTTCATGTCTGGCTGCCAGGCAGAATATATGAGACTATAATCTTCTTAGTCCCATGATTAACAGCATCTCCGTGTAGACACAGGATGCTTCACTAGGTAAAATAAGCCAAAAAAATAAAAATTAAACATTCTACATTGCTCTCTTTGAGGACAGATTTGTAAAATATGTTCCTTTTAAAGCATATATAAATGAGGGTATGCTACAAATAGAAGTCTCAAGGTTAAACAGCGCTTGCACTCATTTAGGGTCTTCCCTGTAGTGGGTGAGTCCGGTTGCAGTAATCTGCAATCTTACTTCATGACAGGCAGGATGCGTTTGAGCTACAGTTGTCTGTATTACATGTATTATTGTAAAATATCAAAACAAATTAAAGATATAAAAAGTTGCAGGAGACCATCACTGCTGAATAAGCTATAAAATCATAGTTTTTAAAAATCTACCAGAGATGAAGAGGCAAAGAAACCTAAATAAATTCCCGAAAGTTCCAAGGTGCTCACAGGCTGCGGCAGGTGGGAGGGAAGCCACTGCCGACGGAGGGGGGCGGGAGGGGCCAGGTCTCTAAGGAGTTTCAGTGCCCGCCCACAGCACCATGAGAGCACCAAGGGGCCCGGGCAGAGGGAGCCCGCGCCCGCCCAGCTGCCTCGCAGTCCTCACCAAGTGGCCGGGCGGCGCACAGAAGGCTGGAGGCGAGCCTGGCCCGTGTGGCTCGGGCGGCTGGCTGTCATCCTGTGCACTGCAAGGCAGCCAGTTCGATCCCGGTCAGGGCACAGGCCTGGGTGTGGGCTCGAGCCTCAGGCAGCTGATTGATGTTTCGCTCTCACATTGATGTTTCGCTCTCTCTCCCTTGCTCTCTCTCTCTCTAAAAAATCAGTAAAAAATATATTTTTTTAAATTAGAAGGCTGGAGGTTAGACAAGGCCACTGCGAGAAATCGTGCCTTAGACACAGAGTCTCCACCAAGAGCAAGAAAGCAACCTCCCTGAGCTGGAAGCAGGGCGGGAGAGCCGGAGGCCCCAGAGGCACTCAGGCCCTTTCCTGGCTTAAGAGGACCAAGGCTTTGACCTCTGCAGGCAGCTGGGAAAAGCGAGACCTCCCAAGGCCCTGGAAGCGGAGCACAGAGCAGGACCTGGGGCATTCCGTGGGACACTGCGGGACGAGGGGAACGTTACCTTGTTTCGGGTGGGGATTACATGAGTGGGTAAGATTGTCAAAACGCATTGCAACAGACACGTAAGAACTGTGTATTTTACAACATGCCTCAATCTAAGAAAAATAACAAAAATAAGAAGGAATCTAAAGTGAAAAGCAAATACTAACTGATCCATTCAGTGACCCCCTCAGAAAAGATGACGTCAGACTTTGAAATCTGGTCTCTCCCTTTGAGAGCTGCCAAGTGGAAGCCACCAGGTCTTGATGCTTAATGTTTAGATACACAGTGCGGATAAACTGTGGCTGGTCTCAAAGTTTCGTCGCGACCTTTTAAAGAATTTTGTTTACAAGTTGAAGGAATATACCAGAGGAGAAATCTACGGAAAAACTGATGAAGGTGAGAAGAACTGAAGACACCATGATTCCAATAAATGAAAATCATGGAAAACCTGCCCTTTAATCTTGAAGGAAGGTTATTCTAGAGCTCGAATCTCTAAGTGTCCCAGTGCCCCAATTTTCCTGCCCTTTCCCCCGAAAACACACCCGTCCCTAGGAACAAGAGGGTCGTCTTCACGCGAATGAAGCTGAAGGGAAAGGCCTTCCTTCCTCTGGCAGGACGTTCGAGGGGCCGCAGAAAGGGGGTCTGGCTGGTGCCTGGGGCTGCGTGTCACTTTTCCAGCACCTTCCTTCATGATCTAATTACGGCTGAGATGAAAAGAAGGGAATTAAGTGCTGATGACCGTATGTCCCCGGAAAGGTTCAGGGCGGTGGAGCTCGCGTGGCTGGGCAGACAGAGGTCTCGGCCCCTGTGGGAAGCAGGGGCTTCCAACTTCTCTCCATCAGTCTGAGTCACGGAGGCAGCGTGGCCTGCGGGAGTGACAATATCTAAACAGAACAGTAACGGTATCTAACAACGATTGAGAGAGATGTGTCAGCTACTGTGCTAAGTCCTGCCTTTTTATTAATTTGACCCTTATATGTAGTAACCTGGATGTATACACTATTACCGTCACCATTTTACGGATGGGAAACTGAGACGGTCCACGGCCTGTTAGGTAGTGCAGCCTTGCATTTGGAACTGGGCAGTCTGACATGAGAATTCAATATCTGTAAATCTTCTACCTGAAACGCTGTTATGATCCCCCAAAGAATGGAAAAAGGCAAATTTTGGAGTTGGAAAGCCCTAAGTTCAGATCTAGTAGAGGCTCGATAAATGGCAGTTAAGTTATAATAATCACTGTGCCTTTACATCCCTATGATAGTCACACCGTAAGTCAGCCACAACTTTCATTTGTTTTCCATGAATCTTATAGTGCCATCTGACTATAATTACTATATATCAATTACTGCGGTCTCCTCAGGACCTGCCCAAAGACAGGGCTTAAAAATTCAATAATTCTAAAGCTTTCCTTGATTAGTTACCAAAACAATTATATTAGGAACAATCTGTTTTTAAGTCAGTGTAAGTGAGTGTTTTATTAATTTTTATTGCTTGCGGTTTTAATTACATATACTTTAAAATTTTTATTAGACTTTAATTAAAATTCTTTAAAGTCTAGATAAAAGTGTTTTTCTCTGTATTTTAATCAAGTCCTTGCAGGCAATAGGCTGGCTGGCTCAAAGACTGAAAACTCAATCTTCTCCTCAATGTGGCTTTTAAAAGGTATATACGAACTGTCTTTCACACATACACACTCAAATATGGAAGAAATAAAGAGGTCAAGTTTGGGGAAAGTCAGAGAAAACTTTTTTAAAAAGTCAAGAGAGCCACAGAATAGGAAGACAAGAGAGAAACAGGGTCAAGGGAGTGTTGTCCAGGAAAGAGACAAACATCACCTTTGAAAGGGACGTTGGGTGCAATGTCTGCAGAGGCGTTCTGGTCTCCGGAGAGATGGGCACTCTGTCAACATGAGGTGCTACGGTTTCTGTCCCCATAAGCGAGAGACCGATCTCTTTGGTGCGAGTCCACATGCAGCCCACAAGGAACACAATGGGAACCCTGAACCAGCACTTTCCTCTCTTTCTCCAGCACAAAAGCCTCCTTCCAGTGAGCGACCTTCCATGCAAAACAGCTCATTTTTAAAGCTTAGTTCAAGTCTCTTAAAGACCCTTGGTTACTTGCCATGGGAAAGGATATCATGTGACAGGCACGGTTTTTTCTAAGTGACAGGGGAAATGTCCCGCGACAATCACCCTCAGTGAAGAGAACACAGCACAATTAGGAGCCAGAAGAATTCTTTATCGTCTAGAAACGGGGAGAGGACACCGTGCTCTCATTTCTCCACCTCCCTCACTTCGCCTTATGAAAATATTTCAAGGTGACAATTAATTGGACATGCAGTTAAATTCCTAAGCAGGTTTATAAAGCATGTGGTAGAAGTAAATGTTCACTTCAGTTTAAAAAACCAAACAAAAAACCACAAAAGAAGAAATAAGCTAACAGAGCAAGGAAAGCTATTTCTTTCCTTCCACTCTCCCTGAGTATTGAAGGTGTTCGGGCTGGACGTGCGCAGTGGTGGGAGACATCACATTACGCACATAAGAATTATAGTACACAATGCGCAAGTCTGCAGGTGATGCAAAGTATTAAGCCACTTACCATGTCAGTAGGAGACACAGTTGGAAAATCCTCGGGAGCCAATGTGGTGCCATTAGACATCGAGATATTAACTGTAAGACAGAGATAATTTTTACTATAAAAAGAAAATTTAAATGACCAAAATGCATAACTGGTGATCTAAAAAAGCAGGACTGGGCATTAAAAGTATCTTTAATAAAAACATAGGGCACAATGAATTATTCTTTATTACAACTACATTCACCTTCCACCTGGATAAAATAATCAAAAATTTGGACACATCCCTTGTGCTCTAATCTGGTAAGAAACCTGGCAAATATTTAATTAGTTGTTGCTGACATTTACTTGTTTCAGGTTTCATATTCTGCCTGGTGGAAGAAATGGCTGTTAAGAACTAAGTTGATGATTGGCTTCATGTAGACTCAAATCTCACAAGCTGGAGTTTCACTAAGTAAGAATGAACTGATTTGGAATTTTTGGCAATTTGGACTGTATATGAGAAAGTATGCCTTTGCAAAATGTGTGAAAACAAACAAACAAAAAAATAGTACTAAATAAATAATAAATTATATAAATATAATTGGGATACTTAATTTTTAAAATTATTTCATATAGTTTGACATCAAATGTAGATGTCACCTGCAGAAGAACCACATTTATTTATTAAACCAAACCTCCTCTTGGAACTATTTCATTTAGTATTTAAAAAGTATTCTATAATCAAAACATTTTTCTTTATCAGCTATGCCTTTTTCCTAATACATGAAGCGTTATATATTATAAAATACAGTTACTCAGGATATCCCTAATTTATGGAAATATCATGAATTAACACTTACCAGGTTTTTGTCTTTGAGAGTTACATAGTTCACTTAACATCCAAATTGCTAATTATTGTTTGGTCCCTGAGCACCACCCCTTCCCCAGAGCCTAGCCTGTCCTTTTAGTTTGGCATGGTTTAGGTCTCGCCTACATAAACTTTTAAGGAGACCCAAGCAGGTGTGTTTGACTGTTAAACTTCAGAACGTAAGACCCATCAGGGAGGAGTAGACGGGGCATGTCTTGTTCACTGCTTTCCCCCAGGATCTGCCCAGTTCGGCACTTAACCAACAGGAACTGGAAAATATTTGTTTNCCCAAGCAGGTGTGTTTGACTGTTAAACTTCAGAACGTAAGATCCATCAGGGAGGAGTAGACGGGCATGTCTTGTTCACTGCTTTCCCCCAAGATCTGCCCAGTTCGGCACTTAACCAACAGGAACTGGAAAATATTTGTTTACTATTCAACCTTTAAAAAGAAGGAAATCCTGCCATTTGCAGCAACATGGATAAACATGAAGCACATTATGTTGAATGAAATAAGCCAGACAAAGACAAATACCGTCTGGTACCACTTACAGGTAGAATCTTATAAAAAGGAAAAAGGAGTTTAACTCTTAAAAACAGAGAGTAAAATGGGGGGGGGG